GGGAAGGAAGGAAGGAGGAAAGAAAGAAAGAAAGGAGCTAAAATTTCACAGAAAACTGAACTTTTTTTTTTAAGACTTAGTCTGGGCTGGAGTGCAGTGGCGCCATCTCGGCTCACTGCAACCTCTGCCTCCTGGGTTCAAGTGATCCAGCTGCCTCAGCCTCCCAAGTAGCTGGGATAACAGGTGCGCACCACCACACCCACCTAATATTTGTATTTTTAGTAGAGACAGGGTTTCACCATGTTGGCTGGGATGGTCTTGATCTCTTGACCTCCTGATCTGCCTGCCTCAGCCTCCCAAAGTGCTGGGATTACAGGCGTGAACCACTGTGCCCATCCAACTTCTTTTATTAGAATATAAAAGCCTTGATAAAACTAATTTTGAAATAACCTGGTGAGATTCACCCTAACTTTTGGAGGGAGAAAGAAGAAATAAATTTAAAAGTAGGAGAAAAAAAGTAGGTGAGACAGACATGGAAAATGAAGAAAGAGAAGAGTAAATTTTGAGTGGAGTAAAAAAAATAACTGTTTAATCAGAATAAGATATTGTGCCCTTTAAAAATTGCAATTTGCCATTGATCACTCCTCCTACTTTTTCAGCTTTTATTTCATTCTTAATTTTTTTTCTTTTTTTTTTTTGAGACAGTGTTGCTCTGTCACCCAAGCTGGAGTACAATGGCACGTCTCGGCTCAGTGTAACTTCCACCACTTAGGTTCAAGTGATTTTCCTGTGTCAGCCTCCTGAGTAGCTGGGACTATAGGCACATGCTACGACTCCAGGCTAATTTTTGTATTTTTAGTAGAGACACGGTTTCACCACGTTGCCAGACAGGTCTCCAGTGACTGACTCAAGTGATCCACCTGACTTGGTCTCCCAGAGTGCCGGGATTACAGGGGTTACAGGCATGAGCCACCATGCCCAGACTTTAACTTTTATTCTTTTTTTTTTTTGAGAGGGAGTCTCACTCTGTTAGTGCATTGGTGCAGTCTTAGTTCACTGCAACCTCCACCTCCCAGGCTCAAGCGATTCTCCTGCCTCAGTCTCCCGAGTAGCTGGGACTGCAGGTGCACGCCACCATACCTGGCTAATTTTTGTTTTTAGTGGAGATGGGTGGGATTTCACTATGTTGGCCAGGTTGGTCTTGAACTCCTGATCTCAGTTGATCTGCCCACCTTGGTCTGCTGTGTTTACAGGCATGAGCCACAATGCCTGGATTTAACTTTTATTCTTTTTTTTTGAGATGGAGTCTTGCTCTGCCACCCAGGCTGGAGTGCAGTGGTGTGATCTTAGCTGCAGCCTCCACCTCTTGGGTTCCAGTGATTCTCTTGCCTCAGCCTCCCAAGTAGCTGGGATTACAGGTGCACACCATCATGCCCGGCTAATTTTTGTATTTTCAGTAGAGACAGGGTTTCACCATGTTGGCCAGAGTAGTCTCGAACTCCTGACCTCAAGTGATCCACCCATTTCAGCCTCCCACAGTGCTGGGATTACAGGCAAGAGCCACTGCGCCCTGTTTAACTTTTATTCTTAACCTCTGAGAGTGACAGAAGAGGAAAGACTTATCTTTCAGAGCAAAACAAAAATTGGAGAGGTTTTCATCTAGATTTAAAAAATGGTGAGAAAAAATTATCTCTAAAAAGTGAGTGCTATGAGCAAAAATAAGAAAGCAAAGACTGTAAGTGAAGAATATAGTCATTTTTTCTTTTTTTTTTTTTGAGACGGAGTATCGCTCTTGTTACCCAGGCTGGAGTGCAATGGCACAATCTCAGCTCACCGCAACCTCCTGGGTTCAAGCAATTCTCCTGCCTCAGCCTCCCGAGTAGCTGGGACAAAGGCGTGCACCACCATGCCCAGCTAATTTTTGTATTTTTAGTAGAGACGGGGTTTCACCTTTTTGACCAGGATGGTCTCGATCTCTTGACCTCGTGATCCACCCACCTCGGCCTCCCAAAGTGCTGGGATTATAGGCGTGAGCCACCGCGCCCGGCCTTGAACATAGTCTTTTTATAGACAAAGCTTAAAGTCCATATAGGGAACAATGGAAAATACTATTGGAAGGCCTTGAATAGCAGGCTAAGGACTCAAGCATTAGTCAGTAGGTAAGTGGTTGCCGTCAATGGAAACAGCAGTTGTGGTATGGAGGAAAATTTTCTAGTCCAGATTTCAGAAGGCTGCAATTGTTGTGCCAGTGTGATACTTGGCAGTCCTTGCCCTAAACCTCGGTTTATTTCTAAAACAGGGGTAATGAGGCAGTTGTGAGGGTTAAATGAGATCACATGACAAGATGTATTTGCTTTGAAAATGTCAAAATGTTATAAAAATGAAAGTTTTCATTGTTGTGAGGATGTAATTAAAGAAGACTGATATAAAACCACTAAGGTGATGGCTGTAGGATTAAAAAGGGGGATTTTTTTTTTTTTTTTTTTTTTTTGAGACAGAGCTTCACTCTTGTTGCTCAGGCTGGAGTGCAATGGCACAATTTCAGCTCACCACAACCTCTGCTCCTGGGTTCAAGCGATTCTCCTGCCTCAGCCTCTCGAGTAGCTAGGATTACAGGCATGCGCCACCACGCCTGGCTAATTTTGTATCTTCAGTAGAAAAGGGTTTCATCATGTTGGTCAGACTGGTCTAGAACTTCCGACATCAGGTGATCCACCCACCTTGCCCTCCCAAAGTGCTGGGATTACAGGCATGAGCCACCAGGTCTGGCCTATATTAAATAATACATATTCATTATTTATATATAAATTATATATAAACTTATTTCCCTCTAACTTCCCAGTTTTTATCTAGCTTCGGTGCAGGGATTGAATATTCAATTGCTAGCAATGATGCTAGTGCTGCTGGTTTTTGTTTGTTTGTTTTTGAGACAGAGTCTCGCTCTGTTGCCCAGGCTGGAGTGCAGTATGGTAGAATCTCTGCCTGCTGCAACTTCCATCTCCTGGGTTCAAGTGATCCTCATGCCTCAGCCTCCTGAGTAGTAGGGATTATAGACACCTGCTACCATGCCTAATTTTTGTATTTTATTTATGTATTTATGCATTTATTTATTTGAGACAAAATCTCGCTCTCTCACCATTTATTTATTGAGACAAAATCTCACTGTCACCCAGGCTTGAGTGCAGTGGCGTGATCTTGGCTCATTGCAACCTCTGTGTCCGGGTGCAAGTGATTCTCCTGCCTCAGCCCCAGGAGTAGCATGTGCCACCATGTCTGGCTAATTGTTTATATTTTTAGTAGAGACAGGGTTTTATTGTGTTAGCCAGGATGGTCTTGATCTCCTGACCTCATGATCTGCCCGCCTTGGCCCCCCAAAGTGCTGAGATTACAGGCGTGAGTCACCGCACCAGGTGCAATGGGGCCATCTCGGCTCACCAAAACCTCAGCCTCCTGGGTTCAAGCGATTCCCCTGCCTCAGCCTCCGGAGTAGATGGGATCACAGGCATGCACCACCATGCCAGACTAATTTTGTATTTTTAGTATAGAAGGGGGTTTCTTTATGTTGGTCAGGCTGGTCTCGAACTCCTGACCTCACGTGATCTGCCTGCCTCAGCCTCCCAAAGAGCTGGGATTACAGGTGTTAGCCACTGAGCCCGGCCTGTATTTTTTTTTTTTTTAAGTAGAAATGGGGTTTCACCATGTTGGCTACGGCTGGTCTTGAACTTCTGACCTCCGGAGCTCCGCCTACCTTGGCCTCCCAAAGTGCTGGGATTACAGGCGTGAGTCACTGCGCTGGGCCTGCTGCTGCTGTTTTAGACAATGGTTGCTGAAGGGTTCGGAGACCGAAACAATAGGGCTTTTGCTGTTTTGTTTTTGAGTGGTTCTGAGCTGTTCTTTTAGGCAGTGGGATTTGTCTGTGTGTGAATGTGCACACACACACGCACGCGCGCACACACACACACACACATATATAATCTGAGTGGATGCCTGGCCTTGTCCTAGGTTTTGTCCCGTACATATTCCATCTGGTTCTCCCCCCCCCCCCCCCCCCCCCCGCATATATGTTTTCTCAAGACGTCTGTCCTGCACTAGACTTTTTTTTGGCTTGCCTTTCCACGCCAGCTTCCAGAGAGGATGCTTTGGCAGTTTTTCTTCTGGGTAACCAAGCAGGCTGCAGCCAGCAGATGGCACTGCAGCGGAGAGGAGCAGAGTCCCTTTAGGACCTTGACAAGCACGACGGACTAGTAACCTTATAATTTAACCCTCGCGTTAGCTTTGGGGAACTCGGTGTCGCACTTTTGCCTGGACTCTCATAAAGCGGGCTGAGTTGTGTGCAATTAAGGATTTCCGTATGCAAATCTGCATCTGTAGTTTTGTCTCCTCCATCCCACCTCCATCATTAGACTTACAGTGTCTTTTGTCACATTGTCAAAGTGTCCTCAGAGAGGCGCTGTCTAGATTTCACCGATTTCTGGTTAAAGTGGCTGAGGCGATCCCAGCATGAATTAAATGCAGGAGAATCGAGATTCTCCTGATAGTTTAAGGAAAAGAAAAATTCACACAGGCAAACGGCCAACCATTTGAATGTTTTCTGACGACGTGGTGCTTTAGGATCTGAAAAATGAGACTTGTTTTTGTTTCAAAGTTCCTCATTTCATTTGGAACGTTCAGACGCTGTCTGACTACATAGATTTCCCTTCGGAGCAAGGAAGAGCAGCGCAAGAGCCGTCTCCGAGGCCGCAGGTGCGGCTTCTTCACCCCCAGTGCTGGAGTTCTCTCAAGTGGAAGCCCCGGACGATGAAAGTGGGCTGCTGCTTACACAGCAACAGCCGCCACGGCGCAAAATAAACTACAAAATGACAACCCTTTACCTTTTCAAACACACTGACACAGACCAATTAGGTTACGCCCCAGCACTAACACCGCAGGGGCACGCAGGAAAGATTTAGTTACCATGGCCACGCAAGAAGCCTCCGAGACAGCGTTCTTCTTACCCAACGTAAGCACGCAGGTTCCCTAGCTCGGTAATCGGCTAGCCATTCCCGATAGCTTTCGGCGTTCGCCTGTCGGACCTTGCGCCTGCGTACTACGGCTCCTTCTTGTCGCCTCGGCCCGGATCGGGAAGTGTCAAGCGGGCCCCGGGTTCCCCCGCCTTCGCCCCTATCACCGCTGAACCCGGACCCCGTACCCAGGTCCAGGGCCAGCCGCCATGACGAACGGTGAGAACTGATGCTCTGAGCGGAGGGTGGGAGTGAAGGACGAAGAGAAAACTTGGCGGGCGGGGCCGGGACTGACGTGGCCGTTCTCCCCGCCCCCTCACAGCCCGGCCCCCCCGTGGCCCCTCGACGCCCCTAACTTCTGTACCCCTACACTCCCCCGCGGGTTCCCCCTTCCCATATTCACCCAGAAACCCCAGTGCCGCTCATTCACATACCGAGTTATCCATCCCTAGCCTTTGCTTTCCCTTTTCTTTTTCTTAGTTCCTTCTGGCTCTTGGAGAGGTCAGTCCCAGCGGAACCACTGCTATTTAGACCCAGGAAAGGCAGAGGCCCCTCCTCCCAGCCCCCTACGTTCTTATACTTTCGGACCGTAGTTTTGTTGAGAGGGCCAAGAAATCACATAAATATCAAGTCCCACACTTTTGGGGGTGCTGGTGAATGTAGACTGCCCAAAAAGTCCTTGTTATGGAAAAATGCCGGAAAGATTTTTGATTTTAAAGTCCTGGCGGGGTGATCCCACATGGAAACCCTGACTAGAGTTTCAAGGAGTCGATTTAGACACTGCTTCTTCTAAATGATGAGGCTGTTGCCAGCCTGTTTATCTGACCTACTTTTCCAGGCCTCTTCAAACACTTTATAGCTATGAATTCTGAATTCCAGAGGAGGACAGGAAGGAGAGCCTTCTGGATCTTTAGAGTCAACCTCATAGGAAAGGGAAAGAGAAAGCCTTGTCGGCATTAGGATGATTGGAGGGGCTCCGGGAAGCATTTCTCAAAAGTACTTTGTCCATAGACCTGGCACTGAATACTCGAATTTCACCTCCTTGTGAATTTTGGCATTGTCTGCAAAAACATATGAGAGATAAAGAGTAGCCCATAAAGGTGTATTTCCTCAGAATACCTTAGTGTATGTATTAATTTACTGGACCCTTTCTTAGTGACATCTAGCTCTGAGACAGTTTTACTGGAGGAAGAGAGGTAGACAGTGTGGTCTACAACTGGCAGACACTGGTTATGTATAATATTCATTTGGAGCATCCTGGGAAGTCAGAGGTCTCAGGATACTAGGCACAGTAAGAAAAGGGACATTACCCAGAGGAAGACAGAATCTGAACCAGGAAGTAAGACAGCAGTTTGACACAGTAATTGCTGAATAAATTTTAGTCATTTTTCCCCGCTTTTGTGGTCCAATATCTTCTCGTTTTTTGCAATTAGGTGATTCATTGTGCTTATCTGTACACAAAATAAGCTTGGTTTACATATTTAAGAAAGGGCCAAGAATTTAAAGCTTTCTACTATGTTGAAGCCTTAGATACTTTTTATTTTAGAAAAATCTGTTATTATTCTGGTAGGAATTTGGAGAGTATCATGCATAAAGTGTAAGGTAAGTATAGGAAAATTGTAGTCATGTGGATTCTTACTCTTGCAATTTCCACTAAGCTTTACTTTTTGCCTTAACATATTCTTCACTAACAGATGTAGATCTGACAGATTTGGCTACATATCTAGCTCTCCTTTATCATATGAGTGATTTATAACAAGAACATGTTAAATTCTCTGTGCTGAATCTTTAAGGATTCATATGTCTCACTTTATTGCCAACACTAGTCATTCCTGGGATGCTAATTTCTCCCCAGGATTTCTACTTCTTGAAAGGTGAGGGGAGGGAGCAGTGACATTTTAGTAAAGGGGTTGTAAAAAAAATTTTTTTTTAGTTGGGGTCTCACTGTGTTGCCCAGGCTAAAGAGCAGTGGCATGATCATAGTTCACTGCAGCCTCGAACTCTTAGGGTCAGTCGATCCTCCTTCCTCTTAGAGCAATTTTTGGGAACAGTAAAATAATCTTGTTAGTCCCAGGATGTTGGCTCCCTCTTGTCAAATGTTGGTTACTGCCTGTTGAGGTTATTATTTTGTTATTATGTCAGACACTATCTTAGAGTTCTCAGGCAGGATCACAGGTCCCAAGCTAGATCAGTACCTAAGGTTTTCTGTTCTTCTTTATTTAACAGTGTACTCCTTGGATGGGATTCTGGTGTTTGGTTTGCTCTTTGTTTGCACCTGTGCCTACTTCAAGAAAGTACCTCGTCTCAAAACCTGGCTGCTATCAGAGAAGAAGGGTGTTTGGGGTGTGTTTTACAAAGGTGAGGCCATGTCTGGACAGGGAAAGGAGACTGCCATCTCTGGACATTGTGGAGCTACAAAGTGGGGGGTACAGTGAGCTGGGATTGTATTTGGTTTCATTTTTAGAAAAAAAAATCCCTCAGATTGGGTCTGAGAGTCTATAAAATTAATCTTTCTCCAAAGTTGAGGGAAGAGGTAAATGTTAAAATTTGCCAGGTGTGGCGGCTCATGCCTATAATCCCAGCACTTTGGGAGGCCAAGGCAGGAGGATTGCTTGAATCCAGGAGTTATACATCAGTCTGGGCAACATAGTGAGACCCCATTTCTACAAAATATACAAAAATTAGCCAGGTATGGTGGCACGTGCCTGTAGTCCCAGCTACTCAGGAGGCTGAGGTGGGAGGATTGCTTGAGCCTAGGAGGTTGAGGTTGCAATGAGCCATGGTGGAGCCACTGTGCTCCAGCCTGGGAGACAGGGTGAGACCCTGTCTCAAAAAAAAATTGTTATTTAAAAACGTAATTGTCTATTTTAGCATCCAGATGACTTTTGTATTCTCCATGCAGTAAAAGCGTACACATTAAACCATTTTAGGCTGGGGTGGAATTCCTCCCTTCAGTGGGAAAATGATTTTCCTATTGAAAATTTTTTTGGCCGGGCGTGGTGGCTCAAGCCTGTAATCCCAGCACTTTGGGAGGCCGAGGCGGGTGGATAACGAGGTCAAGAGATCGAGACCATCCTGGTCAACATGGTGAAACCCCGTCTCTACTAAAAATACAAAAAATTAGCTGGGCATGGTGGCGCGTGCCTGTAATCCCAGCTACTCAGGAGGCTGAGGCAGGAGAATTGCTTGAACCCAGGAGGTGGAGGTTGCGGTGAGCCGAGATCGTGCCATTGCACTCCAGCCTGGGTAACAAGAGCGAAACTCCGTCTCAAAAAAAAAGAAAAGAAAATTTTTTTGATTTTCTGTAAAGGGTTCATTGGAGTTGGAGTTTCTTTTAAGGCTTGATTCAATTAACTCAGATGCCTTTTTTACTTTTTATTTGAGGCACATTCATTTGGAATCCTACCTACCTAAATATTTTTTTTGGAAAAGGACAAAATGTAAATAAACAGTATATTCACCTAGACCCTAAAGCATAAGGATAGCATTTAAAAACATCCCAGAGGCCAGGCACACTGGGTCATGCCTGTAATCCCAGCACTTTGGGAGGCTGAGGGGGGTAGATCATGAGGTCAGGAGTTCAAGACCAGCCTGGCCAAGATGGTGAAACCACATTTCTACCAAAAATACAAAAATTAGCTGGGTGTGGTTGCAGGTGCCTGTAATCCCAGCTACTTGGGAGGCTGAGGCTGGGAAAATCGCTTGAACCCAGGTGGCAGAGGTTGCAGTGAGCTAAGATCACATCACTGCATTCCAGCCTGGACAACAGAGTGAGACTCTGTATCAAAAAAAAAAAAGAAAGAAAAAGAAAATTAGCCAGGTGTGGTGGTGGGCATCTATAATCCCAGCTACTTGGGAGGCTAAGGGAGGAGAATTGCTTGAACCCAGGCAGCAGAGGTTGCAGTGAGCTGAGATCATGCCACTGCGCTCCAGCCTGGGCAACAGAGTGAACTCCGTCTCAAAAAAAAAATAATAATAATAATTAGCCCGGTGTGGTGTTGGGTGCCCGTAAGCCCAGCTACTCGGGAGGCTGACACAAAATCGCTTGAACTCAGGAGGTGGAGATTGCAGTGAGCCTAGATTGCACCATGTATTCCAACCAGGGTGACAGAGTCTCAAAAAATAAAATAAAAACATCCCAGGTCCTTGAGAGCCTTGATATATCTGTCTGTGACTAGAGACTTCAAAATATCACCTTGAAAGTAAGGACTTCAGTGAAGGGCAGGTGTGATTTCATCTCTCTTTACTTTTGCCTGCTAGCTGCTGTGATTGGAACCAGGCTGCATGCTGCTGTGGCAATTGCTTGTGTTGTAATGGCCTTTTACGTCCTGTTTATAAAATGAATTCCGAAGTATCCAAGTCATCAACTGCCAACCAAGGGGACGGGGATGAAGAAGCTGGAGGCCTGGACCCAGTGTAGGAGAGTTCAGCTGAAGTCATCAGTCCCCAGGATGACACCACATCGTCTCCCCCTGCTACATGTGGGAGAAACTCCTCATGGTCCTGAATGTTATTTATGCTTCAGGGAACTACAGAAAGCCAACTTCCTTTGATCTGTGTGTAAATCAGTCCTTGGCAGAGTGCATATAATGTTCAGAAAAATTACACCCCTCAGTGATAAGATTACATACCTCCTTCGTAAAAACCTGTCACCCCGTTTTGTTCTTCAGCTCCTCATCAGGATCTTTTCAAACTGAGGCTCATTAGGGAAGGAACTAGGCTGTGTTCAGATCTTTTTTGAAGAGAGAGAATTTTCAAGACTTCTTTTCACTGTTTGATTTGGATCTGGCAAACTGGGGAGGGGATGCTGGGTGGGAAACAGTTACACAATGCCAAGAAATTCTTTGGCTTTGGAGATTTGTCTTTCATGTACCCATCTGGGAACATAAAAGAGGCATGGTGCTCATTGCAAAAAGGGGAACAGATGAAGTAGCTGTGTTATGTGCTCGTAGCTTGAGAGTTTTGCCAATAGCATCTGGGCCTACATAAAATGTGGGAATTATCTGTATGATGAGACCAGAAAGCAGTGGCTTAGACAAGAAAAACTTTTTCTGTTCACCAATATCCTCAAATGGAGACTTCAGTTGATCAAATGGTATATGAAAAATGAATCAACTGTTGCTATTTCATACAGCCTTTTTATATTTTCTAAACTACTTAGTGCTAAATACTCTTATTCAGTTTTTTTTTTTTATGCTTATACACATAAACAAGATTTTTATTGTTAACGTCAATGAGCAGATGGAACAATATTCACGTGCCAAGGACATATTGCTTACAAGATCACAAAACGGCTGTTGATTTGTATTCATAAATGATTTGGTGAATCACTATGTGTTTTTGAGTGAATGTATATACTGTGATTCACCAAAAATGAAAATTACATTTTACTACATATATTTTAAGTAGTACATGAAGAAAGTACGATTTGGCTCAATGACTTGCCTAATGAAAGGATTTTTTTAAGTTTTAAAAAAAATGCCCAGTAAAGTGGTTATGGATACTTGATATTGACATCCAGGCAAACTGTTTTGTAAGCAAGTCCAAGGCTCTGTCATTTATTGCTCGTAGGCGCTTCTCAGCTCTCAGTTCATACTTGAGGTCGGTGAGTTGTCTATGGATCTTTGCCATTTCTAATTCACGATTAAATTGCATTTCTTCTTTTAGGAGCACATATCCAAACTCGGTTTGATGCTTTAACTTTTTAAGGGTTTCTTTCAAATCTCTATTTTCCCTACTTAAGTCACATATGAGCTCTGTGGCTCGCTGGAGCTGTTCAGTTAAGTTCTTTGCATTTGTTGCTTTCTCAGACCGGTCATTTCTTAAAGTTTGAAGTTCATAGTCGCTTTTTGAACCACATTTGTGTCTTTCTTCAAAGTTCACAGGTTTTCTGAATACCTCTTTTTTGGAGTACAAAAGTTCTTTTTCAACATTTTCTAATTTATTTTCTGGTTTTCTACATTTTGTTTCAAGTTCTTCTAGTTCTTCATTCAAAAAACACATGCAATGTTTTGGAGGCATTCTTTCAATAAACTTATTCTTAACGTGTTGTCGCAGTAATTGTAAGTCATACTTCCTGCAGCTCTCTGTATCTTCCGTGCTGTTACGGCTTTCTTCCGTTGTCACATCGAACTGAGATGATTCGTAGGAAGATGAATTTGTGACTCTGTCATTCCTTGAAATGTTTACCTTACTCTCTCCTATATCTGGTTTTTGTTCTATTTCGTTTAGTTGGAAAATGTATCCTTTCGTAGTAAATTTATTTTTTTCCTGACACTTTGTGCTGGACAAATGATATATTTCTTCCATTCCGTTTCCGTTGCCTCTTGTCATTTCTTCAGAGGAAGAGTCGCAATAAGAAGTTCCTTCTAGAACATCCCGTGCACTAGATAAAGGAGTAAATATTTTCTCTTTCCAGTAGTTTCTTGTACTAATATTTTCATTGGGCATCTCTTCCAATATTTGTAAATTCCTCGTGACATATTTTCAATGTATTTAGCTTTGTCTTGTACTCCACAGTGGTAATGGTAAGTCTTAACACAGGCTGTTATTTCACATCCAATAGTAGCACCAGGCTGACTGCAAAGTGTACATTTCATTCTTTTTCCTCGCTTAATCTCCTGAAGTACAGTTTTAATATCAAAGTCTCCAAATTCTGCTCTTGATGTTGTTGTGAGCTGGACTGTGCCAGAAGAAAACAACATGCACTTATAATGGGCAGCTGCCTTCTTGGCATTAAATATATGCAGCTTTCCTCGTGCTTCATTTTCCTCCTCCCCAACATGGCAAAATCCACATTTAGGCCTGGTGTCACTAGGGCTGCTTCTGTGTGGAGACCTATCTCTATAGGAACTACTTTCCATTTCATCTGTTCCGTGGGAGGACGTGGACCTGGTATCTTCTGACAGCCCTTTAAAATTAGTTTTTCTTGGCCTTCCTTTGCGACTTTTCTTTTTACTTTTAGGTGATGAGGTCTCCAGTTCATGTTCATTAAAACCTTCCTCAAAATCAGCTGCTTCAGAGTTATGTGCAGTTTTCTTGTGTTTTCGGCAATAGACCATGTAAATTCCTTGTGAAGGTTTCTCTTGTATTTGAGCTTTATCATGCAATGCACAGTGGTAGTGGTATGTCCTGTGACATGTTTTCACATCACAACCAATTGTTGCTCCAGGACAACGGCACAAAGAACACATCAGCGTCGTGCCTCTTTTAATTTCCTTTTGGACATCTTCAATAGAAAATCCACCAAGACTTTCATTATCAGAGTGTGATGATACCAAAGCAGATGAAAAGAGCATACACTTATGGTGCGCTGCCACCTTCTGGTTTTCAGATATTAGTAACTGTCCACATTCCTTGTCTCTATTTGACTTACAAAAGCCACATTTGCGCTGTCTTGTAGGCCCTTTTTTCTGTTCAACTGAGCTTGACATGATTTTTAAATTGGCTTTAGAATGCCACTTTAAGCCTCAAGAAATGCCGCAGGGCCCAGAGACGTAAGGCAGGAGAGAAGCGCCAATGAGGGTAAAGAGAAAGAAGTCGATCTCGGTTCTCCGACAGTGCCTGAGAGCGGGGCTCTGTCGCCGGAGGTTGTTTCCTTTCATTCGAGGAGACTCTTATTCAGTTTTAAATGCCATGACTGGGGAAAAAGAACTATTGAAGAAATAATTGTTTAATATATTTGCAGTTGGGGTAGAAGAAATAAGTCTAGTATATTGACTTATCTACTAGTAAATCCATCTAGTATGAGAACTTGTGATGTTAGATTGTGGTTTTGTCTTACAAAAGGCAGCAGACTTATTTTGTGTTTAAGTCTGAGTTGTTATGGCAATTTTTAGTTGATTACTTATTTTTCTTATCCAGCTCTTAATTTTCTTCATAGTGCATTGCTCTTTAGTTGTCTCTGGAAATTCTATTTACTATAAGGACATGAGAAATTCAAATAAGAGAAGTTGCTGATATTCATCAGTGTATTTGGACAGTTCATAGGATCCACAAATAAAGTGATGGTGTTTCCTCAAGTAAAAGAAAACTGAGCTTTGCAGTTGGTATCAAAGGACTTTGCCCTGTAGTTAGTAACTCCTGAGCAGACCGTTTTAGATGGCTCAGCATTTGATGGGAAGGCTGCTCCATTCCCTCCTTGTATCTGCAGAAGGATCAGCTGTTGGATGTCTAGAACTTCTCTATTTAAAAAAGAATAGGTCTAAGGTTAAATTATAAGCATAGACATGGGTCTTCCAGTTGAATTGTCCATTACCATAAAACTTTATGGTGGACAATTTAGCTGTGGTTGATTCCTGTGTGGCAGCAAATTGTCTTCTGTCTGCTTACTCCAAAAGAATAAAAGCTGCTAGGAAGTTAAGATTTTGAAATATGCAGTTTAATGCTTTGAGAGTTTCTAGAAATACCAAGTAAACACTACATGTCTAATCATCTCAGAGTTGTGGCTGTTATCTCTTCAGGAATTGGTCCACAGGGTAAATTTCAACAACTCATATGTTTCCGTTGTCATTTCTGAGGATCTTTGGCATGAGAGAAAGGAAATCTAGTGGAACAGGAAAGAGTTACACCTTGTGGGTGTGAGTTTGGGACCTGTTGGACAAAGGGAAAATCCCTCCCTGGAAACAGGTTCAGCATGTTTTGCACTTGTTATTTTGTAGCTTTAATGATTTTGTTTTCTAATAGGGCTAATGTCTCTAAGCTTGGTGTTTAGAGCTGCTTCATATTTTAAACTAGTTCCATTCCACAGTTCTAGTTCAAACCAGTTTTTATAGCCTCCTGGGTGGGTCATCTTGACCTAAACTCTTGTGTTGTTACATTTTGAGATGTTTTCATTACCAGAATGTACCAAAAAGTGCACAAGGTGAAGGTAATTTACAGCAAAAAACAAATACACAGCTTGTTTCATTTCTTGACTTTCCCTGAGCAGATAAGCAGAAACTTGTTTAACTCATTACTTTGGTTGATGTGTCTTATATATTTTTGACTAAAAGTTATAGGAAGTTATTCCTCTGGGGGAATCTTTTACAGGTGGAAAAATGGGGATAGCAGTATTGCCTCAGATTCAACCTGGCATCACTAAAAACCCTGTATGCCAGGGTGGAATGAAGTCAACTCCTTTTTATAGTTGAAATACAATTTTGTATTCACCATTGTGTGCACAAATCCTTGAAAATAAACTTTTTTCCCCCTACAATCCTTGCCCATTTTATTTGTCACATGTTGAATTTAATGAAGGTTGTTCAGTACTCCCCTGGGTTCAGTTCATAGCCTACTTTTTTAGTTCACATTAGTAAATACCATCATTCCCGTTACCCCATTGTGAGAGGCATTGAATGTATTATATAGTTAAGAATCTAGGCTGGGCGCAGTGGCTCACGCCTATAATCCCAGCACTTTGGGAGGCTGAGGCGGGTGGATAACGAGGTCAAGAGATCTAGACCATCCTGGTCAACAAGGTGAAACCCCGTCTCTACTAAAAATACAAAAATTAGCTGGGCATGGTGGTGCGTGCCTGTAATCCCAGCTACTCGGGAGGCTGAGGCAGGAGAATTGCTTGAAGCCAGGAGGTGGAGGTTGCGGTGAGCCGAGATCATGCCATTGCACTCCAGTCTGGGTAACAACAGCGAAACTCTATCTTAAAAAAAAAAAAAATCTATGATGGCCTAGCTTTCTCCCTTAGGGCAACTGAGATCTATACCTAGAGATAGCTATAACTATATATATATAGTTATATATAATATGCTGATATATATATAACTATGTATGTAGTAAGTTTTCATATATATATGAACAAAATATATATGTGAATGAATAAGATTTGAGGTATATTGAATAAGGTAGAGAGCACCCCCAATACATTTCAGCTGCTACTGCTATTCAAATACAATTATCGGGCTGGGCGCGGTGGCTCAGGCCTATAATCCCAGCACTTTGGGAGGCTGAGGCGGGTGGATCACGAGGTCGAGATCAAGATCATCCTGGTCAACAAGGTGAAACCCCGTCTCTACTAAAAATACAAAAATTAGCTGGGCATGGTGGTGCGCGCCTGTAGTCCCAGCTACTCGGGAGGCTGAGGCAGGAGAATTGCTTGAACCCAGGAGGTGGAGGTTGCGGTGAGCCAAGATTGTGCCATTGCACTCCAGTCTGGGTAACAACAACGAAACTCCGTCTCAAAATAAAATAAAATAATCATCTGCTCTAAACAGTCATAAAATCTTCATTCAAATGAAGTTTTACAAGTTAACCAGTCGGGGCACCTAGAAAATCCTTGAGCCAGGCTGAGTGCGATGGTTCAGGTCTTTAATCCCAGCACGAGCCAGGCTGAGTGCGATGGTTCAGGTCTTTAATCCCAGCATGGTGGGAGCCGAAGTGGGTGGACCACTTGAAGTTAGGAGTTTGAGACCAGCCTGGCCAACATGGTGAAATTCCATCTCTACTAAAAGTACAAAAATTAACCTGGCAAGATTGCACGACTGCACCCCAGCCTAGGCAGCAGAGTGAGACTCCGTCTCAAAAAAAAAAAAAAGACTGGATGTGGTGGCTCATGCCTGTAATCCCAGCACTTTGGGAGGCTGAAGCAGGCAGATCACGAGGTCAGGAGTTTGAGACCAGCCTGGCCAACAGAGTGAAACCCCGTCTCTACTAAAAATACAAAAATTAGCCAGGCATAGTGGCACATGTCTGTAATTCCAGCTACTTGGGAGGATGAGGCAGGAGAATGGCTTGAACCTGTGAAGCAGAGGTTGCAGTGAGTTGAGACCACATAATTGTACTGCAGCCTGGGTGACAGAATGAGACTTCATCTCAGAAAAAAATTAAAATCCTTGAGCCAGTGGGATTCTGGCACATACCATGGGTACTTTCCCCTTATTTGTTTATTCTAAGTGCCTGGTGAGACTGGCACAACTACAAATTATAACTTAAATAATTTTCTACTAATCTCCAAAATTCTTGGGATTTCTACCCCCCAACACCCATTTCATTGAAAAAGGAAAAGGAATTGAGCCATTAAAATTGTGCTTTGTAATGTGAGGGAGCTAATTATATAATCGCTGCTATTTTACACTACTCTTTCTGGAACTTGAAAGTCAAGATAATGTTTTAACAGATGTGACGGTAAATGAAGGCTCAGAAATCTGACTGCCACAGCATTGCGCTCTTGGCAGCCTTAGGGTTCTCGAGTGGGGGCAGGGATATGCCTTCCTACCTTTACCCAATTCATAGATATCTAATGCTTACATTTAAATACCATATTCCAGCTGTGTGTGGTGGCTTAAGTCTGTAATCCCAGCACTTTGGGAAGCCAAGGCAAAAGGATCGCTTGAGCCCAGGAGTTCAAGACCAGACTGGGCAACTTGGTGAGACCTGTCTCTACAAAAAACATTTTTTTAAGTAACCAGGTGTGGGGTGGATGTGGTGATTTATGTCTGTAATCCCAGCATTTTGGGAGGCATGTAGATCATGAGGTCAGGAGATTGAGACCATCGGCTAACACAGGGAAACCCCACCTCTACTAAAAATACAAAAAAAATAGCTCGGCATGGTGGCACATGCCTGTAATCCTAGCTACTTGGGAGGAAGGCAAGAGGATCGTTTGAACACTGCAGGTGGAAGCTGTAGTGAGCTGAGATGGCTCCACCGCACTCCAGCCTGGGCGACAGAGCGAGACTCCGTTTCAAAAAAAAAAAAAAAAAAAAAGTAGCAGCCAGGTGTGATCTGTGGTCCCAGCAACTTGGGAGGCTGAGGTGGGAGGATCAACTGAGCCCAGTAGGTTGAGGCTGCAGTAAGCCGTGATTGTACCACTACACTCCAGCATGGGCGACAGAGCAAGACCCTGTCTGAAATAAATAAATAAGTAAATACATACATACATACGTACTGTATTCCTCACCTTTCCCTTTTGTAAAATGTTTGCCTTCTCCCTCGGGAGAAGGGGCTACTGGGGAAGCCGATGCTTCCTATGGTAATGACCAGGCATTGCTGTCTTCATGGAACAAAAGTCACTCACCTGCCGGGAGTGGTAACTCATGCCTGTAATCTCAGCACTTTGGGAGGCCGAGGCAGGTGGATCATGAGGTCAGACGTTGGAGACCAGTCTGGCCAACATGGCAAAACCCCATCTCTACAAAAAATACAAAAATTAGCTGGGTGCGGTGGTGGGCGCCTGTAATCCCAGCTACTTGGGATGCTGAGACAGGAGAATCGCTTGAACTTCGGAGGCAGAGGTTGCAGTGAGCCGAGATCGCGCCACTCCGATGCACTCCAGCCTGAGCAACAGAGCGAGACTCCGTCTCTAAAAAAAAAAAAAAATCACTCACCTATAAATATCCTGAAGTAATATTTTAAAATTTAAGGCCGGCCCGGTCGCTCACGTTTGTAATCCCTCCACTTTGGGAGGCCAAGGCAGGCAGATCACCTGAGGTCAGGAGTTCGAGACCAGCCTGACCAACACGGTGAAACCACATCTCTACTAAAAATACAAAAATTAGCTGGGCGTGGTGGCAGGCGCCTGTAATCCAAGCTACTCGGGAAGCTGAGGCAGGAGAATCGCTTGAACCCGGGAGGCGAAAAAGAAATTTAAGACAAAATAAAGTTAAGATCACAGAAAAACCAAAGATATTTGTATAAATGTGTAGCTATAAAAAGGTCAAAAGGCCAGGCGTGATGGCGCTCGCCTGTGGTCCCAGCTACTCAGGAGGCTGAGGTGGAAGGATCATTTGAGCCGGAAGCAGAGAGCCGCGATCACGCCACTGCGCTCCAGCCTGGCCGACACCGCGAGAATGCGTCTCCAAAAAAAAAAAACAAAAAAAACCAACCACGATTCTGGATGGTACCGCCTTTTCCTGGGACGTAGGTTCTCCTCCGAGCCACGAGAGGGCAGCAACGCGCGCACTCTGAGAAACAGCCTGTTCCTCCGGACTCGTCCGGCTATGCTCGGTGGTTCCTCCCAGAATCCTCCAAGGCGCCAGAGGGGGCGGAGGGTTTAAAAGCCGGGGAACGGACTTCCGCTGCTTTAGGGAGGGAGAGCGGCCTGGGTTCTGCGTGGTGTGTGGACTTGCGGTGTCGCGTGCGAGGGGCGTGTGAGCCTAGTGTGAGTGGACGCGCGAGTGTGTGATCGTGCGTGCGTGGAACGTGTTAGGTGAGTGCGTGAGCCCGCTCCTGAACCCTTCCCTCCGCCTACACCTTGATCTTATTTGATCGGGTTGTGACCCCAGCCCCGCCGGGCCTACCCGAAATGAAAAGCTCTCCTCCTGCGAAGCCCCTTCTCGGGGCGCTGTGCAGCGAGGCCCCTAGGCGGCGGCAACGCTGCGGTCCCCGGGGTCCCGGAGTTGGCTCTGCGGGGCCCAGCGCTCAGAAGTGATGAATTGATCAGATAGACGAGGCCGGGCTTGTCCCGGGCCACTGATTATCGAGGCGATTCTGATCTGGGCACGGCCACCCGGCTGCCTGTGGCGTAGGGGCGAGCACGTGAACGGCTGGTTAGGGCGGGGCGCTGAGCGCGGTGGCCGAGGAGCTGGAAAGTCTCGGAGGCCTTGTTCGCCTCTGATTTACTTTCCTCCCACCTTCCCTTCCCTCCCTCCCTTCTTTCTTGCTCTGCGCTACCACTTTCGGCTAATTTTTGTATTTTTTGGTAGAGACAGGGTTTTACCATGTTTCCCAGGCTGGTCTCAAACTCCTAACCTCAAGTGATCCGCCCACTTCGACCTCCCAAAGTACTGGAATTAAAGGCAGCTACTGTGCCCGACCCCTTTTTTAATCTGTGTTTTTTTTTCCTTTTCTCTTTCCTTCCTCCTTTTTTTCTTTCTCTCTCTTTCCTCTTTCTTATTTTTTTGAAAGAGTCGCCCTCTCTTTCGCAGACTGGAGTGCAGTGGCGCAGTCATAGTTCACTGCAGTCCACATCTCCCAGGCTCAAGCGATTCTCCCACCTCAGCCAGCCCTGGGACTATCAGTGCATGCCACCACACTGGCCACTTTTCTGTTTTTCTTTAGCCTTGGCTTGACATTTTTTGTATGCTACCAACACTTGTGTCCCCAGGGCTAATGGCACAGTACAGCATCTGCTACTAAGGGATACACACACACACACACACACACACACACACACACACACTGTCTAGTATATCTGTATACAGATTCCAAGGACCGTTCTGGAATATACTGAATTAGAATTATCAGGGCGGTCTAGGAATCTATGTTTTCAAAAGCGTGAATTTTTTTGATGTTTAATATCCCAACCTTCATGAATGTGATTATCCAGGTAGTCACCCCTCTGCCACCTTGAGCCACTCTAAATATATAGCCACTTGGCAGTAGATATGTGAAGATTGGAGGTCTGGGTGGAAGGAGACTCAATAGTTTGGTTTAAGAACCCTCCACCTGAGTGCTTGAAAGAAGCCCTTACATATCTGAATTACTCAACAGTTACTTACATTGTCAAACTTAATTAGAAATGGGAATTTATTGCATGATATGCTATTCTTTTTTTCCTTTTTGTTTTTATTTTGCCTTTTTAGCCAGTCTATTGTTTTAATTCTTTTTTTTTTTTTAAGATGGAGTTTTGCTCTTGTTGCCAGTCTGGAGTGCAGTGGCGATCTAGGCTCACTGCAACCTCCCTTTCCTGTGTTCCAGTGATTCTCCTGCCTCAGCCTGGCAAGGAGCTGGGATTACAGGCTCCCGCTAGCACACCCGGCTAATTTTTTGTATTTTTAGTAGAGATGGGGTTCACCATGTTGGCCAGACTGGTCTCAAACTCCTGACCTCAGTTGATCCACCCACCTTGGCCTCCCAAAGCATTGGGATTGCAGGTGTGAGCCACTGCGCCTGGCTTGTTATAATTCTTAAATTCTTTTTTTTTTTTCTTGGAGTCTTTTCACTCTTGTTCTCCAGGCTGGAGTGCAATGGCGTAATCTTGGCTCATCGCAACCTCCGCCTCCTGGGTTCAGGCAATTCTCCTCCCTCTGCCTCTTGAGTAGCTTGGATTACAGGCACGCGCCACCGTGCCCAGCTAATTTTTTTGTATTTTTAGTAGAGACGGGGTTTCACCATGTTGACCAGGATGGTCTCGATCTCTTGAGGCGTGAGCCACTGATGGGCCGGGCGCGGTGGCTCAAGCCTGTAATCCCAGCACTTTGGGAGGCCGAGGTGGGTGGGACATGAGGTCAAGAGGTCGAGACCATCCTGGTCAACATGGTGAAACCCCGTCTCTACTAAAAATACAAAAAATTAGCTGGGCACGGTGGCACGTGCCTGTAATCCCAGCTACTCAGGAGGCTGAGGCAGGAGAATTGCCGGAACCCAGGAGGCGGAGGTTGCAGTGAGACAAGATTGCACCATTGCACTCCAGCCTGGGTAACAAGAGCGAAACTCCGTCTCAATCAATCAATCAGAAGTGTTAAATCTCAGAAGATATTAAGAAAAAAAAATGTTGCCCAGGCTAGAGTGCAGTGGCGTGATCTCAGCTCACTGCAACCTCTGCCTCCTGGGTTCAAGCAGTTCTGCCTCAGTCTCCCGAGTGGCTGGGATTACAGGTGTGTGCCATCACACCAGGCTAATTTTTGTATTTTTAGTAGAGACAGTGTTTCACCATGTTGGCCAGGCTGGTCTTGAACTGGCTGTCTCAAACTCTTCACCTTGTGATCCGCTGGCCTTGGCCTCTCAAAGAGCTGGGAATATAGGTGTGGGCCACCACGCCCAGCCAATTCTTAAATTCTTAATATTACAGAACTAAAGTGAAACTTAATAACATTCCACTCTTATGGGTTTTTTTGTTTTTTTGAGACGGAGTTTCGCTCTTGTTACCGAGACTGGAGTGCAATGGCACGATCTCGGCTCACCGCAACCTCCGCCTCCTGGGTTCAGGCAATTCTCCTGCCTCAGCCTCCTGAGTAGCTGGGATTACAGGCACGTGCCACCGTGCCCAGCTAATTTTTTGTATTTTTAGTAGAGACGGGGTTTCACCATGTTGACCAGGATGGTCTCGATCTCCTGACCTTGTGATCCACCCGCCTCGGCCTCCCAAAGTGCTGGGATTACAGGCTTGAGCCACTGCGCCCGGCCTCCACTCTTATGTTTTTTTAATCGACAAATTCATGACCCAAAAAGCACACAAAAAAAATTAAAAACAGGGAAAAGCTTATAAAATTAAATATGGATCCCAGCTGAACGGAGAATGTGATTTCTAATTTTTTTTTTTTTTTTTTGAGATGGAGTTTTGCTGTTGTTACCCAGACTGGAGTGCAATGGCATGATCTCGGCTCACCGCAACCTCCACCTCCTGGGTTCAAGCAATTCTGCCTCAGCCTCCCAAGCAGCTGGGACTACAGGTGTGCACCACCGTGCCAAGCTAATTTTTTTAAAATATATTTTTAGTAGAGACGGGGTTTCACCTTGTTGACCAGGATGGTCTAGATCTCTTGACCTCATGATCCACCTGCCTCGGCCTCCCAAAGTGCTGGGATTACAGGCGTGAGCCACCGTGCCCGGCCCGTGATTTTTAAATTCTTATTGGATGATAAAGTTGTGTAGAAACTGGACACTTAACAAATTACTTAAAACCTGGAATCACCAGAAATTACTTGGATCATGGGAAAGCAGAAAAAGAGTTTCTGTTGCACCCCATTCCCTTCTCAGAAAAGCCTGGCATTCATTAGCTACTGGGCCAGACTAATACTGGTAATACTGGCAGCAGAGCCAGTGATGGTACCCTGCCTTCCAGAGGACCCTTCTACTGGGTTGGCAGTTTTAGTTTTAATCTGGGCCCTGGACATCTGGCAGATCTGATTAATGTTGGCATCTTGGAGGCCGATTACACAGCCAATGAAGTTATTTGGAATGGTGAGTTGCTGGTTGGTTTGAGTAGATTTTTTTTTTGGTTTTTTTTTTGAGGTGGAGTCCTGCTCCGTCACCCTGGCTGGAGTGCAGTGGTGCAATCACAGCTCACTACAACCTCCAATCTTCCCAGGTTCAAGAGATTCTGCCTCAAGCCTCCCAAGTAGCTGGGATTACAGGCGCTTGCCACCACACCCAGCTAATTCTTGTATTTTTGGGAGAGATGGGGTTTCACCATGTTGGCCAGACTGTTGTTGAACTCCTGACCTCAAGTGACCCACCTGTCCTTTTACCTCTGGCGAGTGGGAGTCAATTCAGGCGAATTCAGTCCCACTGTGCATCATAGCAAAGTGAGACTGTTGTCTTCTCACCTGGTTCAGCTTGGCCAGATCAAACGGAGAAATGATGTGTTATTTTTGAATCAAGTAGGCATCTGGAGATGGTCCTTCCAGGTCATGGATGGCGAGGGGATAGCCTGGAGCATCGCTGCACCAATCTTGGCCGCTGGTGAAGATGACTGGGGAGTTGGCCAGCATGGGCTGTTGCGGAATGGTCAGGACGCTCCGTTGTGGAGAATGGGAGTGTTTCCAGCATGACCAGGCAGATCTGCTTGACATACCAATGGCCCGCTTGGAGTTGGGCAGCATATTCCCCGCCACCTGGACCTGGGTACCATACTCTCCCGGATATCTTTGATCTTACACCTACCTTTCCCAAATCTTTCTTTTTTAGCTTAAAAAACTACTTATTCATTTACTTGTTTTGAGACAGGGTCTCACTCTGTTGTCCAGACTAGAGTGCAATAGCTCACTGCAGGCTCAGCCTCCTGGGCTCCAGTGTTCCTCCTACCTCAGCTAAAAGCGTGAACCATCATACCTATTGTGCAGTATTTTTAAAAGTTTGCCATTCTTGTCCAGTCGTTTTTATGACAGAGCAGGTCCCTGTGAGTGACCTGTAATTTTGGAAATCACTGAATGGGTCAGTTTTTAGGTACCTGCGAACCCAAGCACCAGGTTTTTGAACCATATTTATAAGAATCAGGGCTATATATCAAAACAAATTTACACAAAGAAAAGGCAGTTGACTCCCAGGCAAAGACAAATAGCAGAGTTGGAGATTAACAATGGCAAGGAGTCAGGACCAGAGAGATGGAACCAAGGAAAAGGAAAGCCCAGCAGATGCTTAAACTCGGGAGGGCTAAGTCTCTTAAGTGTGACCTTAGCATAAATGCTGATGTTATTTGGGGCTTCTGAAATTACAAGGTAGCTCATGTCCGTTCTTGTTTGAACACAGTTCAGTTCCTGGTACATAAAGTTTTGCTGGCAGTGTTGAATGGATGGCTCTGTATGGTGGGAGTGACTTCAGTTTACAAAATGTGAATATCGCCAGGCATGGTGGCTCACGCCTGTAATCTCAGCACTTTGGGAGGCTGAAGTGGGCAGATCATCTGAGGCCAGGAGTTCAAGACCAGCCTGGCCAACATAGTGAAACCACCCCTCTCTACTGAAATACAAAAATTAGCCTCACAAGATGGCAGGTACCTGTAATCTTAGCTACTTGAGAGGCTGAGGCAGGAGAATCACTTGAACCCCGGAAGCAGA